TCGATTTTTCAAGATTGAAGAATCTATACCTCACCGATTTAAATCTAACTGAACTGCACAAGTAACTGATATAGCAAAAAAGCAACTCAAATCAACTGCCAACACGGGTGAATCTAAATTGGTTTTATTTAGCTTTAAGACTGATTTGGATGAAATTGGAGGGTTAGAAGAGAAGTTTTTAAGGTTTTTAAAGAAGCCTAGAGCTGACTTTTCAATAATCTTCAAAAGAATAGCTTTGTTTTCATTTTCTTGATCATTTTACTCTTTAACTTCATGTGCCCGTGATTTAGCCAGGCGCGCTATTCATTTAGCCCTATTCAATGGCTTGTAAAATGTTTTGTACATCTCCAATTGGGAAACTTTAAAGAAATAAAAGTAAAGAATGATTTCGAGATGCTTTCATGTTAAATTTGAATTTACCGTCGCAAATTTTAAAAGTTAATTTTATCTTATTATTAAATGTTCTTTCTCGCGCGACGTCGCATTCCAATTGACGTCGCCGCCATTTGGAGGTAGTCGGTGGGAGCGTCGCGTCGTCGTCTCTTCTTCATTTTTTAGTTTTTGTTGTCTTGTTTTTTCAGATTAATTGAATTTATTATTTTTATTTATTATTGTTTTACGCGATAAATTTTGTGTTTCTCTTTGAAATGAGAAAGAAATCTATTTCCAAGTTGGAGCCGAGTGGAGGATCTGGAACTTTTCGTAGCCGGACCACACTGAAGGTCAAAACTAATTGTAAGATTGTTTGCGGAATTCAATGGAAACAACGAAAGCAAAGTTCGTTTCCTGGACCGTTACAAAACTTAAATGTAGCCAATATTAAGCGCTTCGTCATTTTCATATAAGATTTAACACATTAGGGTTGAAATTGGCGCTTGGGAGCTACGAGAAAGAAGTCGCCGTAAATACTGAACACCTTGTGACCTTATTGTTAGGTAGTTCCGGCCTGAGCGCACAAAATTGTATGCCGGCGCTGGCTGGGAGCTCAAGACGGTCAGACAGTCTTGAGCCTGGCTTCTGACCTGGCTGACTGATCTTGAGGCTCGATTGGCAAATTTCCGAAGACCAGCAATAATAAATAAGCCGAGCCGAGTTGAGGCCGATTTTACGGTTTCCAAGTTTTGCACAGAAGCTCAACGCTCAAATCCCCCACAAGATTTCATCGTCAACTACATTTTCCAACCCTACATCGGTTTTGATAAGCGCCTTTCGAGATTTCGAGCAATTTAGAGTGCCCTAGCGAATCTGAAATCTGAAATCTGAAAACCGACCTTCCAACGGGAAATACTCATCATCCAGCCACAAAGCGACTTTCCAGAGATCTTTTCGATAGTTGATCGCCAGTAGGGAAACAAGAACAATCAGAAAAATGATTTCTTTGCCCACTTTTTCAACATTTTGCAGCTGTTTTACATATCAGAAAGTCGAAAATGGAGGAAAAATAGCGGCAAAAGCAAATAAATAGATTTTTCGGGTTTTTAGCTGAAAGAAACGGACATTTTGACCGACAAACGGACTTTTCAGCAAATCCCAAGGGATTTTCAAGTAAAGAAAACGAGGCGGCGATGAAAAATTGGGAACAAAATTGACAGAATCGAGAAAAAGGCTTCAATGTTCGAGTGGCAGAGTCAATTCTCGAATGTAAATTGCAAATTTTCTGATAAACGTTGCCAGTTTTCATTCGATTCGAAGCTATTCGGTTTGCCAATAATGGTTTGCCGACTCACGTTAGGCACATTCGGGTCATTTTCTAGCCGCTTGAGCCAGAGGATTTCGCGGAGGAAAGACTCGCGAAGCTGCAATTGGCAGCGCTTCTCCTGGAAATGGGTTTTGTTAAGTGTCGTGTGTTCCAGATCGGCTAAATCTGTTAAGAAATTCCCGTACCCAGTCGATTTTTGTGAAAAATTTCTTCTGACAAAGGCGCATCGAGTGACCGCTAAAGTGCGGAGTTTTTAGAGCAAATTCCTCGAAAGAGTAGACTCGTTTATTCCATCCCTCGCCCAAGACGGGATATTTTGGGATAATTGATCGATCGATGCATTTGATTGAGGCTAAAAAATAGTAGATGAATCTAGTCCCTGTAATTAGTGTGAAAAAATATGTGAATCATCGCTTTTTCTTTGTTTAGAATCTTTTAACATTAGCATATTGTCGTAAAAAGATGATAAAAGACCAACCATTTAAGCCAGGTATTCTTAGTCCGTGACTTGATTTGATTAGCGAAGCACCAAGTGGAAACACGGGTGAATCTGAATTGGTTTCATTTAGTTTTAAGAGTGATTTGGATGAAATTGGAGGGTTAGAAGAGAAGTTTTTAAGGTCTTTGAAGAAGCCTTGAGCTGACTTTTCAATAATCTTCAAAAGAATAGCTTTGTTTTCATTTTCTTGATCATTTGACTCTTTAACTTCATGTGCCCGTGATTTAGCCAGGCGCGCTATTCATTTAGTCCTATTCAATGGCCAACCCCACATCGATAGATAAGGGCTTTTCGAGATTTCGAGCAATTTAGGGTGCACTAGGGAATCTGAAATCTGAAAACCGACCTTCCAACGAGAAATGTGATGAAAAATTGGGGGAAAAAATTGACAGAATCAAGAAAAAGGCTTCAGTAATCGAGTGGCAGAGTCAATTCTCGAATGTAATTTGCAAATTTTCTGATAAACCGTAGTTTCGTTGCCAGATTTCATTCGTTTAACTCAATTTTGAGCCCAATTGATCAAATTTTGTTATACCTTCATCAAAAGTGACTAAAATTCAGCCGATCAAATGGAAATCGGCGGTCAGATTCCAGTAGTTTTTGTTTCAAGAAGAATTTGAAAAAAGCTAGAGTGGCTCCCATAATCTAAACTGCTTTCAAAACGTTCCCCAAAATCGTTTTACAACTCTCCAATAGCCTGTTCAAGTCTATATTGTGGAATTTTCTAAGCTTTTTAAGCTAAAACCGAGAACGGGTACAGGTACAGACAGCTAGACTAAGCCATAAACTATTCGGTTTGCCAATAATCAATTTCAAAAAGAAATCTTTATTCAATAAAGCGACCTTGAATCAATACAAAATAGTTTTCATCTTTTTCAAGAAACTTTTCCCTATTTTACCTACCGTAAATACTGTAATAGTACTCCACCCCTCTCGTACAGTCGCGTAGTCGCAAAAGTTTTTTAGTATTTCATTTTTATTTAAAGCGCCCGTACTTTCAAAAAATGCGTCTTTGGTATCAGCTGAAATAGCTGAAATTCAGGGTTATTTTTTGATACCTAAGCGCGCACTGTAGCATGAATACACAAGAACACCAGTGTCGAGAAAAACTCGTTCAAAGCTAGACTACGCAACACTCCACACCGTCATTATGGGGGTGGGGTACTATTACAGTATTTACGGTAGTAGGAGGCGAATTCTTCTCGCGTCAACCTTTGAATCTTTGATTTCGTTGATTTCTTAATCTTTGATTTTGAGTCTACTAAAGTCTTTACTAATTCTGTACCCAGTTTTGGTATCTTTTTCATCTTCAAAGTGCTCTAGAGCATTTTCCATTGATAAAAATGAATGGTATATTTCTTTTGCCTGCTTTTGTTTGATCGTTCTCATAATAACGATCGTTTCCCTTTTTGTCAAGAGTTTCCTTTTCTGATTGTTTCCAGAGCTGTTTGTGATGCTTTAAACTGTGTAAGTCGTGTTCGTTACACCGCTTACAAATGCACGTTAAATTGCTTAAGCTTGCTCACAATAAAAAGAAACAGGTTAAGCTTGCAAGGGAAGTGCACTCACTTAAGGCGAGCTTTTGCATTGGGACCCAGTTGATGCGATGCAGAATTTTATGCTGACCTGCTTTTCGTTGTTGCAAAATGGCTCCTTATCAAAAGTTACGAACGTTTTAGGAGTGGCGGCGGAGTGGGTAGAGGGCTTATGTCCGAAACGATTTCTTCATTTGTTGCTTGAGTCCAATTCCATCCTTTGTTTTTCTTTTTATTTCATCTTCCAACACTTAAATTCGTTTCAGTTTTCGATTTCAGAAAGTATCACAATCACTTTTTGTATTGAGATTTATGAACAAAATTGAACATTTACAGCTCCAACGTTGATGATTAAAAGTGAAGTAGCAAACAAAACAGTTGTTACCATCCACAAAAAGGACAGAATAAATGATCTTTGCTGGCGATTTCTTTTAGGAAAGCAGAAAGAAAGAGCGTCTATTCTACAATTCTTGTTTATAGACTTCTATATAAAAATTCAGTATGATACCTTGTGAAATAAAAAAATAAAACAAAGTTAAGTGTTGAAAGATCAAAATAAAAAGAATTCTTTGGATCTCGATCCAAAAGTCCACCTTAAGTGGGTGCACTTCCCTTGTTAGCGTTTCGTGTAACAAAATGGTAAGCAAGATTCTGTTAATTGAAACGTGTGGACAATCAAAAGTTAAAAAGCACAGCGTACATTTGAACACTGTAGGCCTAACACCAGAGCTTTTGTCGGAGTGAAAATGTGTAGATGTAGACTTGGCTATTGATCTTCTTTTTATAATAACCACTATTGATAATGGTCTTTATCGTATTCATTGAGTCGTATTCATTGACGCAGTTTGGCAGTTGATTTGAGTTGATGCTTGCCAATATCAGTTGCTTGTGCAGTTTGGTTAGATTTAAATCGGTGAGTTATAGATTTTTCAATCTTGAAAAATCGAGCAAGAAAGAATCACAGGACTCGATATGGACTAAAAATAATCGAACGTTCACAACAACCAACCAACTAATCCGAAGGAATACTAATTTTGAAAGATGGTTTGCACTTGTGGATTTTGAAAGATTCAAAAAGGTCAATGACTAACACCAGGTTTATGGAAAAAAAGGTTCACAAAATCAAGACTATGTGGTATATAAAATGTGGGTAATCATTGAAAGGAAATCACAAGTAATGATAGTTCAGAAGAATGGAAAAACCGACAGAATTCTTCGGAAAATCATAATAAGTCCTAGGAAACGAGCAAAAATACAAATATACCTATGGATATGATGCGTCAAAATCGATCAAGATGATCTTTCTCTCCTCTACCGATTGGGCTCCACATACGAGCAATGTTTCAGTGGCTTTGAGATTCCAAAAATAACCGCGAGGGTCATCCGAACGAGATCGAACGAGCTCCCGAACGAAGGTACCTTAGAATGAAAAAAATTCACAACAAGACAATAAACTTTGCAATAGATTTAAGCTTGAATAGTTGACGAAACAAGTCGTCTAGTGAAAAAATTCTACTTATGCCAGCTTGCGGTTCGGATCTTATTGCCCATAGTCTTATAGGTAATTTAAAACAGCATACCTTTGTCCACATCCCACAGCTTCACCGAGCCATCTTCCGAACCTGTCACCAAAAGTCCGGAGTCGAGCCATTGCATTGAAGAGATGAAGTTCAACGTTTGGCCGGGTAAGTGGTGAAGGCACGAGCCACCCTCACGAATGTCCCAAACCTAAAGAAATGGAAGTAGTTTTCATAGGATTGATTAAACATACCTTAACTTCCGAGGCGTAATAGCAGGCCAAAATGTTTCCGCGAAGCTGCATCCCAAAGTAACCACTGAGCCGTGACCCTTCATGAAAGACAATATTTGCGATGCATGCTGAAAGAAACAAATATAGATGACATTGTAACAGAATAGTGAACAAGTAAAAACGCACTTCCTCTTTGCACATCCCAGACGCGAATAGTTCCGTCACGACTGCCCGACACGACAAGATCGCGCTCTGGCTCAAACTAAAACAGAATCCCGATCAAAGCCAAAATTTGACAACTCAACTCACCAAAAGTGAGTCGACTAACCCTGTGTGGCCCGTCAGCGTGTGCAAATACTCTTTCGTGTGTATAAACCAAACCTAATAGAATATTATAAATTGCACTAGTAACTGTACAAACGTTTACGGTAAATCCATGGCCGACAAATACAACCCGTTTTCCATCAAATTTCACAAAATACACCTGAAATTTAGCTTTGTTTAAGCCCAAACTTTAATACACATACCCACACTTCGACAGCCAAAATGTGAAGGCATTTCCCGTCGACAATGTCCCAGACTCGGAGTGTTAGATCGCGGGATCCAGAAACAAGACTAAAACATTATGATCTTAGCTCAACAGAAAATTCCGATCGCTCACGTTGTCCCATGTAGACTCATACATGAAATCCTATCCGTATGTCCCTGCAAAACATGAAGCTGTGCACCGGTTTGACCACACCAAACGCGCACCGTTCCATCAACCCCGCCACTGAAATATTACAATAGACTTTGTTGTCATAAGAATTTTTGTTTGAATCTTTTTAGCTTCATTGACAACTCTCATGAATTGCACTAGCTATAATCTATTAACCAACCAGACAATGTATTTGCCATCTTCACTCACTTGATACGAGATGAGGGGACCATTATCACCAGTTAGAGCAAAAGCCGGCTAAATTCGGACGTACAATAACAATTAATCAAAATAAACCTGAGCATCTTCAACATTCCAGACCCGCAACGTACCATCATTAGAACCAGTAATCACACGATCATGGTAAATTTGTGTACAATAGTCATCCTAAAAACCATTTTTTCGGTCAAACCATTTATTCAAACCCCTAGAAGAGTGCTTGATTGAATTGCTCGGGATCGCCAATTCGAAATGATTCGCTTCTTTCGCAAGTACAGCGACTTCCATGGCGAACGCTCATAACATCTAGAAAAAACTTCATTTCGCAACAAGTTAGGTCACTAACTGTCCATATGCTATCTCGCGTCCTTGTCGATTCTGATGTGCTTCTTGAAGGTCCATATGTGAATAGATTGTTATTCCCGCCTGCTCATTTGCCCGATTCGTCGCCCAACGTCCGAGAAAACGAAAGCTAAAAAAACAAGTTTCAGACGAGTCTTTTTACAATCGATTTCCCAAATCTGAACCAGTTCATCTAAAAAAACATTCTCATATGTTTTCCCTCGCTTTATATCTTTGTTTGCTTTGGAACATTTCTGTTGTTGTCACTTCTAATATCATTGTCCTAGATCTTACAATCCTTCAAATCTAGTTTAATATAAACCTATCAGATATGTACTTTTAAGTGTTATCTTATCGGCTCAAAACTGTAACAAACCTTGGCGCATCAAATTCCACATATCCGTTCTCGAAACATTTCTGTCGCCAGGTCTGATCATCTTCACAAATCCGTTGCCACGTCCGCGAAACGCCAGCACAAGTCATCAAATCGCGCGGTGTCAACTGGGCGATGATGCGATAAGCAATCTAAAACTAAACAATTACCCCCACAGCCTTTAACAGGCCTCTTTTGGCAATTGTGCCAAGAAGTCCTTTAGGGAGAATGGTTGGTTCGGTTCCACTTGGATATTGGATAAACCACTTGGATTAGCTTGGATTTGAGTCTTGCTGCCCTCCGCTCTGTTCAACATCTCCCCTAAATGAAAAATTATAGCAGAGATAACATCGTAATTAATATAAGGAAAAGTCCCCGAACAAAATACTATTACTAGCTCCTGTGAATACTGTAATAGTAGCACCCGTGTGGCACGCACTAGAGGCTGGTGGGGTATTATCACAGTATTTGCGGTATATACACCTGCTGAACGAATTGAAATGAATGAAATTTGTGGCAAAAAGTTTCGTTAGATATACGAAAGGAGCACGTATTAGAACGCGCCATCAAGAGGTTTACGGTAAAATGTACACAAAACCATATTTGATGGTTCCACTTTTCAAAAAGCTCTTTTTCATTGCGCTTTTCGCACTTCACCCACAAAATACCCTTTTGTGGACATTCTCGTTGATAGAAAAAAATCTGAGAAACTCTTCATTGAGCTGTGCAATAAAATCGACGCTTACGATTTTAAAACTATTATAATGCCAAAAAAATACGTTAGTTGCATGCCATAATCTATCAAGCATAGGGGTGTTGAAGGTGATTTTATCAGGATTGGGGAAAACTGCATTATCGCCCCCTACTGAAGAAGCCCCCGCCCTCCGCCCACCGCTGGAGGATCGCACCATGCAGATCGAACGCGCCATCAAGAGTTTTACGGTAGAATGTAAACAGCGGTGGGGGGCGATAATACATTCCTCGGAAATCCTGAATCTTAAAAAAAATTACGACCACAGCATTTTGGCCAGCTTCGGTCCTACGTTTAACAGGCCATCAACATACATCGGTTCCGCTTTGAGAAACCTTTATTCTACATTCCTTGCCACAAAGTAACTCTTATAATTTGGATCATATCGCAATTACACAAAAAAATCCTCACCGTGTTCAATTGGATACTTGAGCGTCAAGATGCCTCGCTTGGATTGAGCCTCATCACCGACGTAGGAATCCTTTTGCCCCATTCCAACCATAACCCCTTGATGACGAGGGCGGCCGACGATTGACGGGAAGACGGCGCGCGGAGCATCATCACCAGCAAAGTCAGCCTAAAAAGAATTAGTACCGTAACTTGAACAAAACTTAAACTAAAACCAGCTTAAGTAGTTTGACGTTAAAAAAACAGTTGCCTAGGCAATGTATAACAAGTTAAACAACAGTTCGCCCTGCTCAGGGACTACGAGATCCAAAAGTTCACCTTGCACATTCCGGATCCGTTGTCAACCACGAGTGCAGCCACTTCTTCGTCGCACATTTAGTCCAAAGCGAGTTGATCAGTTGCAATATCTGAAAGAATACAAACTAGGGTGCTTCGAGGTGAGGACAAATACAGAAATGAAAAGTGCTTCAACTAAGGCAGAAGGGGTAAAGAGAAACAATTAACGTAAGAACTGAGATTTGGAGGATCCAATGAATCAGGATTGACTTAAGCGTCGGAAAATTGAATTCTAGATAAAATATAACTCCCGAACTCCTACAAAGCCTGCTACAAAGCTGTGGGCTTCAGCTTCAACTATAAAGCTACAAAAGCTTTGGCACTTTGGTGGTTAAGAGGGGCCACTTTTATCCTGGCTTAGTTACATCTAATCTTTTTGAGTGGTTGTATCGATACCTTTTAGCTATTCTCGGGTAATCAAAAATGTTTAATAGATTGGTGACTATTTTAGGAAGCTTCTGGCCATTCTAGCCTAATCTCATGTACTTTAACCATCACACACTACCTGAAAGCCTGAAACTCAAATAAAAGCCACAATATAACCATGTCGTAAATGCTCTAAAAGTAGAAAACCTATTTGATTACCCTAGAACAGGTATATAAAAGCTAGCAATACAACTACTCAAAAAACCTTAGATCCAGCGAAATCAGGATAAAAGTGGCCCCTCTCAACCACCAAAGCAACAAGGCTTCAACTAGCGCAACGATTGCAATTCCATTAGCAACAGGATCGATTTCAGCTGCAAATACATAAAATTTGTTTCTAGAGCTATAAACTAGGCCCGCGTGGGCAATAAGGGAATAAGAATTGTAAGAATTGCATTTCCATTAGCTTCAAAATCAAGTTTGGGGCAAGAAATATCGCAAAGTGGCAAAGCAATCAAGAAAGCGCACCAATCTGCAGCAATCTTTTCGGCGAAATGATCGAAATATCTTTTCCCATCGATATCATCGACAAATTAACGACTTTTCAATTGCTTAGTTGAATATTTTTGATTCATAGTTAAAATCTTCAAAAAAATGGCGAAATATTGATAGGCATCTTTTAAACAAAAAGATATTCAGTCATCTTGTCAAATTGTTTAAATTTTAACAGGAATTTCTAAAAATAAAATCATTTTAGTGATTTTACACGAGCTCTCCCTCTCCAGGCACGTGTTTTCTTTTGGTTTTCCTCTCTTTTGCTAGTTTTAAACGAAACCACTTGTCAACCTGTATAATTTGTGTTTTTTTTCCGGAAATCGTACTGCCGCCACTACCAATGCGGGTCAACGCGAGTTCGACTATGACACGCCGGCCACTACTCAGCAATCGCCAACCGAGTCGCTGAGACTTGTGAATTTTTTTTTAGAAAGTTGAGCCTTTATAAAGTTTTCTAAAGTCTCTTGTAAGTGTTTTGTTGCTTTGTAATTTTGCTATTTCCCTAGGCCTTATTGTGATCGTTGTGAAAGATCGTTTATTCTGTCCTTTTTGTCGATGTTTGTTTTGTTTGTTACTTCACTTTTGATCAACCATGTTGAACTGTAAATCTTTAATCTTGTTTATAAACCAATACAAAATACGTAATTAATATAAGGAAAAGTCCCGAACAAAATACTATTACTAGCTTCTGTGAATACTGTAATAGTAGCACCCGTGTGGCACGCACTAGAGGCTGGTGGGGTATTATCACAGTATTTGCGGTATATACACCTGCTGAACGAATTGAAATGAATGAAATTTGTGGCAAAAAGTTTCGTTAGATATACGAAAGGAGCACGTATTAGAACGCGCCATCAAGAGGTTTACGGTAAAATGTACACAAAACCATCGTTGGTGGCTTCACGGCTCAAAAACTCGATTCCATTGCGTTTTTTAGCACTTCAGCCACGAAATACCCTTTTGTGCACATACTCGTAGGTAAGGTGAAGTTTATCGGCAGAATCTAAGGCCCCGCTCGGGTGTTGGAGCTGCGGTCGGCGAAAATTGACTTCTTTATTTTACATTTTGACTTTGAAGCTAGGGTCCAGCTAGTTTAGGAGTGGTAATTTAGCATTATAGGAGCCAAAATTTGGCATAAGCCTCAGCGTTTCGTTATAACTTTTTGTAGAGTTGAGCAAATTTGATGATTTTTGTATCAAAATGTTCGTGAGAGTCTCTAGAATAAAAATTATCCCCTCGTTTTTTGTTCTAGATCCTGATTGTCGAGCTACGAGCCCCAAACTGCAGGGTACCACAAAATTTCCCATACAAAATGACCAAAAAACCGCTAAAACTCAATTTAAAAAATTTCTGTCAAAGGGATTTGAAAAATTCCTTCAGATTCGGAATCAGCACAATTTTTTGCATCTAAAAAAGGTACTCCCAGAAAAATCCGATAGAAAACGCCATTTCGCGCCGATGTGCACCGCCTTAATTGAGTGCACTTCCCTTGCGAGTTTACCCTGTTTCTTCGTATTTGTGAGCAAGTTTAAGCGATTTATCGTGCATGTGTAAGTTGTGTAACAAACACCACTTACACAGTTTAAATATACTTTATTCATAATACGTTAAAAAATATTGAATGTTTACAGCAACCAACGAAGCATGCGGAACTCAAAGCAAAAACATAAGGGTTAGGTCCTTTATGCCATTTGAGAAAGCGAAAAAGGAATTTGTTTGGCGTAAAGTTAAAGGAAGGGCTTTCAAAGTTTTTCTGTACGAAGTTTAAAAGACCCTGACCTTGCATTTGATAGAAATTTGGACCTAGTAAGACGAAAAGGGTCTCTTCTGAAAACTGAACGCTGTTCGAAGGAATAGAAAGTAAAATGGGGCCAGATTGGTCGGAATCGCCAGTTGCCCAAAGTTCGTATTGATTCGCGGCGATTATTAGAACATTCTCATCGTTTTGAAATTGCTTCGGGATGCGAATGATGGCCCTGGAAATTGTCGAAAATGATCAATTGCAGAATCAAGTATGTTTTGGGAGTCACGAGTGATTGTTGAATTCTGTGATCTGTCGACGATCAACGATTTGATTTAATTTGATATAATTTGACGATCGATCTTTGTCCAGCTCCTGAGAATTACGATCTGTTGGACTTAATCTGTGATTTTCTCTTTCCCTTCCCCTTTCCCTTCTCCCCTTTTTTCTTCAGACAATGATGCCCCTTTGTGATGACACGAGAATCGGTGATAAGCAAGAGAATTGGCGACGTGCACTCATAAATTTTC